GTCCGTCCGTCCGTCTGTGCACACGATAACTCGAGTAAAAATTGAGATATCTTAACGAAACTTGGTACGTGAACTTCTTTTGGGCGTGGGACGGATGGTATTGAAAATGGGCGAAATCGGATAATAACCACGCCTACCTCCCATATAACGGTAATTTTAAGAAATACGAAAACTGTGATATTTTAGTAACTACTGAAGATAATTCACTCAAAATTGATACTTACATTGAGTTTCAGACGGAAAACATGAATATTATAAATTTTTGGAAAATGGGCGTAGCCACGCCCACTTATGGTTACATGTGTATATCTTGGTAACCCCTGCACCAATTTCTTCCAAACTTGGCACAGTTGTTGACCTTCGCACAGCATACCAAATGGCCGAAAATTTTAAAAATCGGACAATAACCACGCCTACCTCCCATATAACGGTAATTTTCAGAAAAACGAAAACTGCGATATTTTAGTAACTACTGAAGATAATTCACTCAAAATTGATATTTGCAATGAGTTTTATACGAAAAATAAGAGCATTACAAAATTTTGGCAAATGGGCGCAGCCACGCCCACTTATGGTTACATGTGTATATCTTGGTAATCGCTACACCAATTTCTTCCAAACTTGGCAAAGTTGTTGGTCCTGGTACAGCATACCAATTGGCCGAAAATTTCTAAAATCGGACAATAACCACGCCCACATCCCATATAACGGTAATTTCGAGAAATACAAAATCTTCGATAAATCAGTAAATATTGAAGCTAATTTATTCAAAATTGATGATTGCAACAATTCTTTACCAAGAAATACATTTATGACAAAATTTTGGAAAATGGGCGTAGCACCGCCCACTTGTGATCACATATATGTATCTCGCTAACCGTTCTAGCAATTTGTACTAAGCTCGGTATGGTTATTGTGCTTGCCACATAAAAGCAAACCGTTGAAAATTGTTGAAATCGGACTAAAATTGAAGCCGCTTTTCATATAACGGTAAATTTAAGAAATGCTTGAAATTTTAATATTTCAAAATTTAAGGACGCTAATTTACTTAAAATGTATACGCCCCGGCTTATCATGTAGCGGTAGCTTTAGGAAAGGTGGAAAACATATATATAATACTTGCGCCGGGTATTTAATGTTCGGCTCTGCCCGAACTTAGACTTTCTTACTTGTTTTTGACTAAATTTAGCATCAGAGTGCAACAATTTTGGCTGCACTGATTAATTTTGTGAGTTAGCCTGTTCCCTGACTATAGAATTTAATGAAAAATGGTCCGATCCGTACACACATTTACCGGCATAAATCTCGAATACCAACCGTTTAGCTACGCAAAAAGCAAAAATGTGGCTCGATACAACTTTTCACGCTGCTTTCAACCATATCGAAAATTTTTCCATATTGGATCTACTATGTATCGCGTAAAAGTTACAATCGAACTTATGTACGTACATGGCGTATGAGTTACCCAGCCGAGATGAGAGTTTTAGTCATACGGCATGTACGTCCGTTCGATGTACGTTCGGCGATCTGAAGAACCCTCGATTGTAAAATTTTAAGCGAATTTGATCGATCTTAATTTTTTTGGCGCCATATTGGATGCGCCGTTTTGAACTTTTTAAACCAGGCACCAGCTTCGTAATCAGATACACCTAAACATAAAAAGCTGCCATTTGTCTATCGTTTTTAGTGTTGGGTTCTCCAGAGGCATAAAAAGTGTAAAGCAAAATCTAATTCGCAGTTAGATTAGACACCATATTTCAACCGCCATCTTGATTTTATTTAATTTTCAACGGGATTCAAAAACAGACCATTTAAGCTAATATTTCCGGAAGGTTTCAAATTGTTTAAGTCAAACCGAATATGAAGAGATGAGGTGGATCGCTTGGAAAAATATATACCATTTTCATATATTTGGCCAGGTTTTACGCGAAAGCGGCATCCCTTGTAGGCCAAGAGCTTGCATTTGGCTCCCACATGTGCAGATGAATAGCGCGGCGCTACGTACACACAACTGCGAAATACCGTTGGATGACTGGGTGATCCTTAAGGCTGAGGAGTCACAAACAACCAGCATGTCCATCTTACTCCTCACTGAAGAGGATAGCATCAAGCCTTTGGAAAAAGCAGACTGTGCGAAGAAAGGTTTGGTATCCGTCGAGGCAAATTCAAAATTTTTCGGGCGAACAAAGCTGAAAAAGAAGAGCCTGACGTGATCGACGACGCAAATAAGCTGCTGGAAGGCATGCTGCTCGCTGAACAAACTGCTGACACGAATTGAAAATTGGTCGGAAGGTTGTCCAGATTAACCTCCATTAACCACTCGAGGCTGGCTTCGGACTACCTTTCCGTCTTCCTGCTGGATGAATATGTCGACATCGCACTCATTCAGGAGCCCTCGGAAGGGAACACCGAGGTTAAGGAGCTGCCCCTTAGGACTTCTACAAGAAATCGGGCGTCAAACCTAGATCTTATGTTGTAGTTAACTCTCAATACCATACTTTTCATCCCTTCCAACAGCTCATCGAATCTAATAGCTACGAAACTCGTAGCGGCTGGTGGTACCAGCATGGTCGTTGCCTCGTACTACATGCCACACCGGATGTGGTTCGTAGTCTAGTGGAGAATTTTCAATCGGATAATCTACTTATCGGATGCGATTGTAACTCCCGGCATTCGATCTGGGAAGCTCAGAATAATAGGTGAGCTTCTTTTCGATTGCATTCTTAGCACTAATAATTTGTAATCGGAGTAGCACTCCTACGTTCACTTTTCCTAGCACTGATACTTTTAGGGGGCGGGAGGAAGTGCTGGATATAACGCCAACTAACGTTTGTAGTAGTAGAGGTAGGATTAGGGTAAACAACTGACGGGTATCTGATTGGAAATCATTTTCTACGTACTATTCAAATTATCGGTTAGGCTGAATATTTCCCTTCCTTTTCGTAACCCAAAGAGAACAAACAGGCGGCAAATTGCCAGTGTGGTCAGTAATAAACTTGGGAAACATTGGTATAGCTATTTAACGTCCATGGCAGTGCAGCAAATTCGTAAAGGCTATGGATCGCCCTCAGGAAAGAGTCTCGTAAAGATTCCAACTGAAGCTATTCCAAGGGGAACCTATAAAGATAGCTTGAGAATTTACAAAAAGGCAATTCGCAAAGCAAAACAGGTATCCTGGAGGGATTTCTGCTCTTATATAGAATGAATGAAAGAATCCGCAAGAATGGAGAGGATCCTATCCAAGGAATACAGCAATCCTTCCTTCATAAAAAAGAAAAAAGGGGGATGGACCAATAGTTCTAAGGAGACATTCAAACTCCTTCTTCGTACCCATTTTCCAGACTGTGACACAAATCAGGTTTTAGGGGTAGATAGTACCGTAGCGGCAC